CATGTTTCAACGACTAAAGAAAAAGATGTACCTTTGTCGAACTTCTTTAGGAGAGGGCAGTCTGCCTTCCAGTGTCCTTTCTGCTGAAATTTATGGCACTTGCCCTTCGGCTTCTTCGCTTTCTGTCAAGGTTGCGCATCATTCGTGACCGCTTTGCCGTTTCCTGCGGACTTCTTCCCCTTCTTGCCCTTAGGAGCCTTAGAAGTGGAAGCTTCTCCCCGCTGGGCCTCCATAACTTGGTTCTTCTGACGAAACAGGCCATCTGTTGACTGAAGTTCAGCAACAAGTTCTGGAAGAGTCATCAACATCTTATGCATGTTGTAATTTAACGAGAATTGTTCGAAGCTCTTCGACAAAAACTGGAGCACTATATCGACCTGGGTTTCCCCGTCAATAAAAGCTCCAAGAACCTCCAGCTCATTCAGCTAGGCCATCATAGCAAGAACATGTTCCCTTACGGGAGTGCCCTCGCGCATGGTCATGTTCATCAGAACTCTCATGGCCTCTTGTCGGGCAGCCCGCGACTGATGACCAAATAACTCCTTGAGATTGAGGAGCATCTCTGCTGCGGTGTTCATAGACTTGATGTTGAAGTACATTTGACAATGATGCCAAGATGTAACACTTCGCCATCTCATCAGCCTTTTTCCACCGAGCATACGCCTCTTTCTCTTGGTCTGGTGCATTGTCAACAGGCACATCCGAACAAGCCTCAACAGTAGCAAATTTGTAGCCCTCAGCAGTCAACACAATATCCAAGTTCCTTTTCCAGTCAATATAATTGGGACCAACAAGTTTGTTTTCTTTGAGAATTACGGACAACGGATTGAAAGACATTTTGAATTCCTTAGATCATGCGAACATAGTATTTACTCAATCAAGTAATTTTAAATTTAAACATCAAATATTGATCCCATGTAACAATATTCAAATAAAATCACCAACACCTCAAAGCACTGAATCCCCGCAGGCCACGAAGTGTTGACGTCTACGGTTCAAACATTCGCAAGAGGAGGGATAAATTTCATTAGATTAACATACTGCCGAGCAATACTTAACTAATAGTCGGTTTCATCTTTTGGCCAGCGCAATTAACTTATAAAAGAATAAAAAAAACCTTATCCTTTGGGACTATCGTAATTATTTGCACTTTAAGTGTAACCCATTAATTGGTACTAAGTTTACTACCAAAATTATACGTCCACCTTTGGGTGACCCGTACGCTTTTAAAATAGCTTACTATAACCATCCCGAAGGAGATTCGTCGTTGTGAACTGTGAAGTAAAACGTCCTTTGGACTCGAATTAAATCACTTCACTAACAAACCTATAATGGAAACCTTGGATATAATTTATTTTAACCCATTACACACTTAATATAATTTTTATTTTAGGGATCTACAAAAACATGTTTGATTTTGTACATGAGCAATCACATAAAACATGCATGATTAATGAGCAATAATAAACTAGGAATTATAATCCAACTATCATGGCCACTAATCAATCTCCAATGTTACGGAGAAAACACAATCTTGTCCTTGTTCAGTGTGTCCTCCGATTCAGGCATTTGAACTCCCCTTTCGCAGTGACTCCCACTGAATTGGTCGTCTCTTGGAAAGTCATCATTGGATCATCACCATGAGATTCGTGTACGCGTTAATCACCTCGCCCCGTCAAGGTTGGTCCACGTCCACCGGATCAATAATGAATAATATAAACAACAATTACATAATTCATCGTATGACCCATGCAGGAGCCGTACATGGGTATCTATGAAAGCAATAAACTATGTGGTGTCACACCGCGCGAATAATCTATTACAAGCATTCACCAACCCAAAAATTCCTCGACATGTCCGAGGCTTTAAAAACAGCATACATTTAATCATGAATTAGAATCCATACATATGGGCCATAATAGTCGTATTCGAAATCACCTGCAAAAACTTATTGCAATTTCTAATCTACTATGCCGCTGCATCCGTACGCACATAATTCATGTAAACATGCAAAGTCCAAATTCAAATTGTGCACGAGGTTGAATTAAACCTGGGCTCTGATACCAGTTGTTGGGTTCTGTGAGCAACGTCAAACAACATGCACAGTATTGAAATTATCGAAATAAATTCTAACGCAGTGGAATCTATAGTTAGGATATGGACGTTTACCTTTTAAAATTTTTGCCAACTCTGAGACGATGTAGAGTACCGTTGGTGTAGTTCGTCTGAATACCACAATCTAATGGGCGGATAGATTTGGCCTTTAGTCGATTCTAATCGACACGTCAAATGAAGCTCGGATGCACGGTGGCTCGGGTCTCAGAGTTGGTGCAGCGGGCTGGTACGCGGGAGTGCGTCGGGCGCAGGTCAAATGCGCGGGGCTGCTGGGATGGTGCGCGCGTGCGGGGGCAGCACTCCTAGGCCTGGGCAGACTGGGCGTGCGCGTCTGGGACCACACGGGCATGCGGAACGCGTCTCCTGGTCGCGCGAGAAATGGCGCACGCGTAGCGGACGGACGTTGGGACTTCGCGATCGGCGATGGCGAGCAGACAGTACGAC